GACGCTCTTCCGATCTATCAGTCACTATAAGAAACCACACCTAAGAGGAACTTACTGACAATATGTCACAGTTTGGGCTTCTCCTCGACACTAGGGAAACAGCATAGAGTTGGCTCATAACGAAATGTCTATTAATTGACATCGAAAAACTGCATCGGTGCTTAGAAACCACGGTTAGAAAACCCTTGTCTCAAGGGTGTTACAGAAGCACAGATAGATTCAAAAAATAGAGGGGTGCAATATTTAACAGGCTGCTTGACTAGAACAGGGTGAGCAGAGCTGTGAGGAAGCCAGAACAGCGTTCGCACAAGGCGAATCTAGGGTAGAAGTGATCGTCTAATTCCAACATAAACGCATTCTTAACATGCGGAAGATACATAGGATGACCACAAGGACCGCATTTCTGTGGCTCTCAACGCCCCCTTTCTTTGTGGACAGTGTGTTTATATGACACCCGTAGTAGGATGCTCACCTGTGATAGTTTGAGAACCGCGCGTTAGCGGCCGACCGTGCTAATCATTGGACTGCTGCAACTGCTAATTCCTCTTTAGTAAGGGCAGCACTCTTTTGGAGGTCCAAACGATTAATGCAATGTGTCACGTTTCGCGGCTCTGCAGTCGCGTAGGAATTGCGACATACGAATACGACCTGCGACATGAGCAGCGATTCTGCGATGATTGCAGCAAATGGCTTCATTTTGATCAGTCTCGGCTCGGAATTCTTTCGTATGTTGAACATGCAAGGGTTGGTCGGGCTTTGTTGCTCCCCATCAAAATAACAAAACCATAAATAAGGCAAAGCAACGAAAATCCAACAATGTTTTCAGAGAGCCGACATGGCGTTCCGTATCGGTGGTGGGAAAGATCCTGTGGCGCCATATTATGATACTGAACGCATCATAGAAATAGCCATGAAGGTGAAGATAATTTACAACAGTTTTCCTGAAGAGCAGCTCATGATTCCGAGGCAATCTGCAGAACAATGTTGATGCAATCCACCCTGGCCACGGTTTCTTGGCGAAAAGTCCACGGTTTGCTCAGCAAGTTGTTTCCGCTGGAATGAAGTACATCGGACCGACAGCAGGTGTGATCGCACAAATGCGCGACAACTTGCAAGCTCGTCAGTGCGCCATAAAGGCGAAACTGAAGGTGAGTGTCATGTTTAGATGTCACAGACCGCTGCAAAAGCCGATATAGCGGCCGATGACCTCGCGCGTAATGGGAATACCAGGTGCTTTCATTCATTCACTCATGTGCTCTAGGAACAAGCAGCAACCTCGTTCTTTGCGGGAAAGAGGTTTCTATCCTGTCATGCCGACCAAGCTTGTTGTTGGTGAAACCAACTCACTGGGCAAGGTTCCGAGGAGACCTTTCGACAGCGAGGGACCGTATTTCATGTTAAGTGTCCAGTGTGATGGGTAATATTGGGGAGACGCGCAAGATGTTGGAGGACGTGTCAAGGCACGGCTGGACAGAGGCACGACTGCAATTTTGTCGTGGTAGATATCTCGCTGAAAGCATATTTGCAAGTTGAGGCACGCAGCCACGCCTACCAACATCTCAGGGATTTTGAATGTACAGTGGTGATCCATGCAAACGAACGGGGCGTTTGACGCGGCGCGGTTACGAGCCAGCCAAGGTGGCTTTATTCCAGCTATGGTCACATCCTGACTCCGTCGCAGTTGGTGGGGGGAAACTGCTCTGGCTGTGCTCTGAGCCACGCTACCTCCTGCACCCGATCGTTTTCGAGGGTAGCGGCTGTGTAAAAACGCGCCGAGCCGAG